TTTTTTACCTGTTTAATTGAGGCTTGGTCCAATCAAGTGCAGGTGTGTTGCCACTTGATTATATAAGCCCTGAGCTCTTGGAAGCTCGAGGAGAAATGTTTTGTCTGAGAGAACAGGAATAAAAGACAACAGAGAAACTGGAACCGGTGGCTGAAGCTGTTTTTTTTGGTTCACCTTTTTGACCCTCGACCAAACTACTTCACAAGGTGTATGAGATAAATATAAACTAGATGATGAGGTTGCTACAGGATTTGAATCAACAATTTGCTGGTGATTAATTATTAACAAAAATGAATTAATTATATACATTATAATGTTCAGAAATTAGGTAACTGGACTCAAAGTGGTTTTGAAGCTGTACATGGACAACTTGCTGTGACTTCACTCATGGCGTTCCAAAACAGAATAGCTTTAGATATGTTATTAGCAGAAAAATGCGGAGTCTGTGCTATTTTTTGCGAGCAATGCTTCACCTTCATTCCCAACAATACAGCTGCTGATGATAGTCTAACTAAAGCTGTTGATGGTCTCCGTGCATTATCCAACAAAATGAAAGAACATTCAGGTGTAGACACTTCTATGTGGGACATTTGGATGTCTATGTTTGCACAGTATAAAACCTTGGTGTCATCTGGTTTTTTTTATCTGTTGCTGTTTTTGCTGCCATATTGACCCTTTGTGGATGTTGCTGCAATCCCTGCATAAGAGCTTTGATTAAAAGATTAATAACTACAACTATAACCTCATTACAGCAAGATGTGCACACCCCAATGTACAATGAAGAATCTGATTCTACCAAACCTCTGTTGGAGGATGCATCTGTTGAAGCATTGATGTTTGTCCTGATCATTGTTGTTTTTGGTTTTGCTATTATTTTACTCATTTATATTTTTATGTATTCTATGTTGGTTACAGTTTTTACTCTTTTTTATTTTTGGTTTGTAATTGTTCCGTTAAGGAACAAAAGTAAGAATTTGTGGAATGGTATTTTTCCTTGACCTGTTTGTGAGCGATGCTAAAGTCTGTCTTTTCTTTTTTCCTGAAATTAGTGATTACTTAGAAGCCTTGTTGAGATGAAAGGAAAGGAAGGAGGTTTGAAAGGAAGTTTCCCCCTAGGTTAGATAACGGGGAAACAAGTCAAGATTCTCACATCCTGGTGTGAATAGAAAACAATTGTCATCTCTGTCCTTTGATGAACTAAAGTGTTTCTCTTGGGAAATGTTAATGGTTGGGTAGTCCCCTTTTTATGCAGGGGTTTGGATGATGCAGCCTCAGATCAACACTGAGAGCTGCGTTCAGATGGTCATGTTGAAATAAAACGTTTTTCTTCCTTGGATATCAACTCTCAGTGCTCATATATTTTTTTATTCCACATGCCTTACATTCTTTTGAACTGTATGTGTGACCTAAATGTCAGTAGCCATCTGGTGCTGTGAATTTAAGAGTTTATGAAAAAGATACACCAAGGAGTAAGATTTGATAAGTCCCGATCTGAATGCATGTCATGTAAAAAAAGAAGAAAGGTAGGAGAACAGTCACTCTCTGGTCCAGATATGGGGAACATGAGGCTAGTCTGAATTTCAGGGAGCAGAGACAGCCTGTGACAAAGCTGGTGAAATCCCAGCATCTGCTGGTGATAAAGATAGCTATTGGCTACTTGTAGATTTTGCTACTAAACTAGTCAAACATGCAGCTGCAAGCATTGCAGCATGTGAAAAAAATGATTCCAGAGGAACAGAAAAAAGTCTGGATCGTAAATGGGCAGAAAACAAATAACCTTGAAAACTAATAACAACAAACTTGAAATCCGAAGGGCAGAATTTCTTAAAGCCCCTAAGATTCGCAGAAAGGTAAAATTGAGGAAGGGTTGCACAGGTCACACGGCCAAAGCAATCAGTACTGAGAATCAAACCAACCAGCCTTCCCACATTTAATGGAACCCAGAGGAGAGACTGGGATAGTTTGTAGAGGAAGGAGGAGCCCACTGGTTCAATTGAAGCAATGAAGATTGAGGTCCTGTTGAGGAAAAGATAAACCAAGATCTGAGGCTGTCCTCTTACAATACAGCTGAGGACATGTTCAGTGTTCTCCAGAACAGGTATGGGAACCACACCACAATTGGCTTTGTAATAAGGTCAAATCAGCCAAGGAAAACAGCTGACGAAATAAAACCTCTTGAGAAGGCCCCTGTTGATCTAACAGAGCTGGGGAATTCAGTAGCCCTCGAGAATTCTCTTGTCATGAAATTCATCGAAAGCAAGCTACAAAAGAGCTTAGAGAAGTTCTAGATGGTATTCATGATGAACCCAGAAAATGTTGTCAGGTCAGATAACTTTGAAAGCCTCCTTGGATTCCTAAAAATTCAAGAAGAAATCCTAGAGAGATTGGAGCAGCTTCTAGAGGGTTAGAATGTCAGTGAAGGGGAAGGAGCCTCTATGCTAAGTGGGTGTGGGTCATTTATATTGTTGGACCTCATAAATTATGTTAATAATGTGTCAGGGCTCAACAGTAATAGGTTAGGATAATCAATCTCTTTTGATGTGTTGTAAATGTTAAATATTGCTTTTATGTTAAATACTATGTTATATATTGTTTTATCAAATAATTTTAATGATGAATTCCAATCATCAAATGATATTAGGGATGGGAATTAATAAGATTTTCTTGATTCTGATTCCCTTATCGATTCTGTGAAACATTTTGATTCCTTATCAATTCTCTCATCCATTCTGTGAAATGATGAACTTGATAAGTGCACGGTGACATTTGTCTACCTGATGTCATTGGTTCTATGCAAAAATATGCATGCTCTTTTTTATGCTAAATGTGAGCATCAGGACACATTTTGAATAAAGAGAAGAGCACCATTTCTTGCTACATTAATACAAGTCTTATAAGCGCTAGACACACTAGATGGTGTTTATCAATGTTTAAAGCATCACTGGCTTTTTTTCCACTTTGGAAAGGTTTGCATTTGAGCTTACCATTGACTAAGACAGTGTTTATGTAACCAAATATAGTCTAAATATGCCTGTTATATGTTGATTCCATCCATCCATCCATCCATTATCCGACATGCTTGTCCCAATTGGGGTCGCGAGGGATGCTGGTGCCTATCTCCAGCAGTCAATGGGCGAGAGGCGGGGTACACCCTGGACAGGTCGCCAGTCCATCGCAGGGCAACACAGAAACAAACAGGACATACAACCATTATATGTGGATTTGTCCTTTGTTTTCTTTTGAAGATATAGAATTGTGCATAGGTAAACAGAGGTAAACCCCACTCTTAAAGGACAATATCACAAGGGACCCTAAACTTCTTTTTAAACA